TTAGCAGTAACTACTTATTGAATAATATATTGGTTATTGTAGACTTGAGGTATTTTATAATAAAACACACATAAAATTTTTTTTTTCCTTGTATCAATGAATTTTAGAAAATTTATAAAAAAAAGTGTTAGCTATGATTAGTTTATCCGCAACTAGTATATTTTTCTTGATTGTTTCTGTATGCCCCGTTCAACTCTATATGAATGATCAACATTCAAATATTAAATTCACCATGGAAAGAAATTGAGTTCAACAATTAGCTGTTTAGCTAGTTGTTGAAAACAATTATTCTTATTAAAAACAAATATAACTTAACTAACAGAATATTTAAAAAAAGGACTTTCTCAGGTCTGTTAATAAATTACTTAGATTTTACAGATATTTCACACAAAAATTGAAGTGATAAAAACTCTAATTAAGTAAAAGTTAGACATATTCTCCATAAAAACTTTACCCGACTAAACTAATTAATTGCGTTATAAAAACCTACCTAAACCGACTAAAAGAAAATAAAGTTATTATCGATTCTTTAAATTACTAAATCTTTAAATTTTTAATTCTTTTAATTACTTTAAAATGCTGTATAATAGTAAAATATCAAAACAATTTTAAAACAAAATAACTGGCTTATGCAAAAAAACATTGTAAAACTCTCAATAATAAATCGACATTCTCATTCTGTAAAATTAATACATAATTTTCAACAAAAGATTAAACTCCTCAACATTTTTGCTCAAATGTCATATATAAGTTTGTAAATAAAAGCTGTAATACTTGTATGTCGTTAAAACCGCTCAACATTTGGGTAAAAGAATAAATAAAAAAGTACATAAAAAACAAAAAGAAATTTCATACAAATTAACGTATTTATTTAAAAATATGTTGCTTTAGTGTAGCCAATAAATTTTCTTTTTCTGTATAAAACTTCCAAACATTGAATTTCTTAAAAATCAAAGCGTTACACATTATCTGGGAAAAACTTGATCTTAATAAACAGGTTTTTTATTACACGCTGCACGGCGTTAACTTTTGTTCAAAAATGTCTCTGTCGCCAGGCTCGCGTGTTTTCACACTTACAGTCATATTAAGTGAAAACCATTTTAAAATAACAATACATTTTTAATAGATCAATCAATATCAATTATTTTTACAAGTGGTTTCTAATAGTACAGACATTTTGCGCTAAACTTGAATTTACTTTATAAGAAAACAAGGTGTATGGATCATTGGTCTACGTACCTCATCGTACCATTTTTTATTTATATCTTGAGATAAAACTCTCACATTGATATCATAATAACGAATTGTTAAAATATTAAACAATCGGAAACTTATATTATTAACGTACTCCTGAATGAAAATAAATTAATAAAAAACAAAAATCTATATGCAAAATAATTTTTTAAACTTAAAATTTTGTAAAACACCAACATCATAAAATCTCCAAATATAATTTTAAGAAATTATGAAATATAAGTTATCTAATTAATAAAACAAAAGGAAAATTCTTGTTACAAAATGCTTCTGTAAAAATTGGCTTGTAGTTAAAGGTTCTTTTAATTTCGTTGCAGGAAGGTAAGTCGTCAGGTACTGCCTGCCACTACCTAAAATTAAAATAACTCCTGCTCCATCAATTAAGCATACATGTTTTATTTTCATTAAGTATGTAAGTTCTTTTTCATCAATCTACATATACTGTAATTGGCATGACTTGTTAAATAGTCTAGCTTTTGATATGTTGTGGATTAAATAGTTATCCTTAACTTAATCTTAAACCAATAGAGTAAATAAATCTCCAACCAATATAATTACTTAACCTTAAACCAATAGAGCTATATACATCTATAGACATCTAAAGTATACACATGTTTATACTTTTTATTCACAGTAGTATTCCAGACTTTTAATTCCTGCAAGTCTTACATTAATAAATCTGATGTAATCAATAACAAAACTCAATAATAAAATGTTTATCAATTTATTAATAACTTAATAATAATGTTATAATGTATATCCAAGTAAAATATTTATCTTTTAATCAAATTTTTAAGGTTACAATACAAGTATACACACACACACACACAAAAAGCAAAATCAAATCAAGACCTTTTACATAAATTTTTATAATCTAATGAAAACTTAACTTTGAAATAAATGTATATATATATATATATATATATATATATATATATATATATATATATATATATATATATATATATATATATATATATATATATATATATATATATATATATATATATTTACAGGGATGGACGCAGGTTTTTAATTTATCCCGTAGAAAAAAGCGCCTTACGCCATGTTGTAAGTGACAAAGCAAATAGAAATAATGGGGGGGGGATGAGTAAGGACGGATCCATGTGTTAAAGTGGGGGTGGGCAAGTTTTTTCTTTTCGTTTAATCCAAACGAATAAAGAGGGCAATTTACAGGTTTAAGGATTTTTAAGCAGGCAAGCCCAAAAAAAAGATTTTAGACTACACAATTTTATGCCACTTTTAAACAGCTAACCAAATTTACTTTCGTTTTTACAAAATGATCTTATAATAAAAAATATCTGAGGGGGCCATCGCTCCCATAGCCTGCCCGCTATGTATCCCCTAAATCCTCCTGTCCTTGAGCTGGAGGATTTAAAGGGATATTCTTTTTGCTATTTCATTAAGAAGCGCATATCTTAGTTTTACTTTGAAACTTTTTATATATATAAATATATAATAAATATATAAACCAACAAATGACTGTTTTGCCCAATATCAAGGCTCATCAGCATGTCTAGGAACATATTTATCCCGAACAATCGGAAAAAGAAAAACTAAGAACTGAAAAGAGAACGACAAAAATGCAAATAGATTTATATATATCGTGAAATAAAAATTTATATATATTCTTACATAACAAGATTAAAAAAAAAGACATACTAAGTTAAGCCTTAAGCTTTAAGCAGTTATTAAGATAAACCTTAAGCAGTTATTAAGATGAGTCCCTAAGACATCATTTCTATTGCATGCAGCAAATTTTGCTGCACGCAATGGAAATGATGTTTAAGGGACTCATCTTAATACCTATTTTTAGGAAACTATTAAATGCTCTTGAAAATACAACATATAGTTGACCATGAGAACCATGAAACCATGAGAAACACGGTTTTTGAGATATTTTTTTTGTCTATGTTTTTAATTTCGCGTTACGTAATATATAGACGATCCCTAAAATAAAATACTTGAAACTAAAAAGATTTTATTTATTACAATAACCAATAACAACCAAGGGACAAATTAAAGAATTATATCTTTAAATTGCAAATTATCAATCGCAGTATTAAAAAATACGCAAGAGCTCAGTAATTACATGGTTTTAATCTATTCTCTTGCTATACTAATTCTTATTTAAGTCTCATCTCAGAGAGATACGAAGTGTTTTAAAAACAGCACGTTAGAAAAAGTAAAAATGTCATGCAATAAATAACAGTAAATGGTTTTATTATGCTAACAAAGTTATATTTACCTTAACTAAAAGTTAATTTCCAGCATTTCTTAATTAAGTTCCAGCTTTTCTTTAACTGTTGACAAATGAATAATATTGTAAATTTCACATCATATAAAATTTACAAAATTCAAACCATGTTTCAACAGTAAGCAAAATAATCAAGTGATGATAAAGACAACTAAAAAAAAAATGAACACAATTATGTTTAAGATAAATGTTACAACAAATAGTAAAATTCATACATTAAAATTAAAATATGAAAGATAGTAAAATTCATACTTTAAAATTAAAATATTAAAAATAGTAAAATTCATACTTTAAAATTCATGTTTTAAAGTGTCTAATGTAAAATCAAATAATAGACATCAACACTGCTTGACACTAAATTCTGGCAAAAATTTTTTCTGTTCATCAAGCAAAATTTCTTATATTTCAACGACAATTAATTTTATCACGCTTAAATCTATTTCTTCCATATGACAACAATTTCAAGTTACCTATAACCATTTACACTAATAACTTCTATGAGTCTAATATTTTACATCTGTTATTATTAAATATATTACCAGTGATTATACTACTGTTACAACTGAATAAATGAACGTTTTATATTTTTACAACTGAAAAATACAAAACAAAATTTTTGACATTATTTTAATTTAGCAAAGAATTTAGACTACAATGCAAAGTTATTTTTACCTTCTGGCACAATCTTAATGCACATAAATAATAAATGCAGAATCTTGTATAAAAAATGGAGCATGATATAAAAAATATTAGTCTAAAGTAATATGTATATGTATGTATATATATTCAAATTTTTTCTATTCTTTTTAATTTTTTCTTTGAGATAATATTTATATAGATTCAGAGAAATATAAAATATTCTGATATATAGGCACATTTATGTATATCAACATACCTGTCAAAAATTACAGTCAGTTTTCCATGTTAAATACATAAAATATATATCTAATATAAAATAAAACAAAACATTAAACTTACTCAAATCAGTAACAGTTCGACTGTCTAAAAATTTTTATTATTAACCCTTCTATTTGAAAAAACAAACAAATGAGTTGAAGTGACTAAAAAGCACTTTAGCTTTTTCCGATTGCACTAAAAAATAAAATAAATCTTGCTTTGCTAAGTTGCCTAGTTCTTAAGAATCTGGAAACAAATAAGTAAAAAACCAAGAACAAACAATAATTTTTTTATTTAAACTACTCTATTTAAACAAATGAAATTAAACAGAGAACAACATTAATTCTCTTTGAAAGCTTAAAAAAATTTTTCAGCTCAAATTTACCCCCTGACCCCCTATATCTCGGTTTAAGAATACGGTATTTCAACACGTATCATTTTATTACTGTCATATCAATTTAATTAGACAAAGAATATATGTTAATAGTCAGTAATCAGTATTTTATCCATTTCTTTCTATGCATTTGGTAATTCTTCTTGGCAGGCTTTCAACTAGGTGAAAACACTCTTTTTACGTAATGGCAGCCCACTCCTGTTCAACACGTCTGATCAACTGTTCACGATTACGAGGTCGAGGATTGTGTAAAACACCGTCCTGGAGTCTTGACCAAATATGTTCGATGACATTTAAGTCGGGCGAGTTCCCAGGCCAGTCGGTCCACACTGCTGGAAAGTCTCTGTTGATCACATTCATTGTTGCTCTTGCCGTGTGGCAAGTTGCTCTATCTTGCATCAGAATAGCTTTATTTCTCACAGGAAAGATGGTCTTATCATCAGCTGCACGTTTGTACACAGGTAGAATAATATCACGGTAATATTGTCCATCAACAGTTTTATTTTGCTCAACAACAACCAGATCAGTTTTGCCATATCGAGAAATGCCGCCGGCTATCATAATCTTGAGACCGAATTTCGGACGTCGAACATAAGGTATTGACTCTGGTCTTGCTGTACGTACTCTTTGATTTTGACAGTTTGGCCGGATATAATTCAATTGGACTCTCATCAGTCCACAATACGTGAGCTCGTTTCACTTTACCATCCGGTGAGTCATCTGCGAATCCCTCTTCTTGCAAACGAGTACAAAAGTTTACGCGATCAGTGATGTTTTTCTGCGACAACATGGGTTTCACTTTCTGTGTATAGGCATGCTTTCCCCATGTGGTCTTGCGCAAGTATTTACTGATAGCACTGTGGGAAATTGTTTTTCCTCTTTCTTTGTAACCGTCTGAAAAATTCAGTTTCTTAGCTACAGTTCTCGTTCTAACTCCGACTTTGTCTTTGACCCACTTTCTGACCTTCTCCTTGGTTCTTGGTAAAAACTTTCTTGGCTTTCCAGGTCGCTGAGCATCTGTGAAGTCTCCCTCTTGTTTTCTTGCCCACTTCCTTACAGTATTTCGAGAAACTTTACACTGTCTGGAGATTTCTTTTATGCTTAATCCTTAACTACATAAAACCTGAATTCGGTGACGAAGTAACTGTTTATCAGAACTCATTTTCAGATTAAATTGCTAAAAAACACAAATACATGTTAATAACATATACATATAATACATATAAATACACACAGAGTAATTATTGTAAATCATAAACAGAAACCAAGTATCACTGATATAAATCTGATATATCTGATGTATCTGATATAAATAAGGCAAATAAAAATAATGCTGATTATTTCTTGTAGCCAAAATGCTAAACATTAAAAAAGTAAACTTAATTTCTGACCCCGGTTTCGGAGAGTAGCAATACGTCATAAACAGTGAAGAAAAAATGTGTTATTAATTGGCAAACTAAGATCACATATTAAGAAGTAATAAGGACAATTTACTTAAAAATCGTGCTAAAACTGCTAAAACAATTTACTTAAAAATCGTGCTAAAACATAATGCCAAAGGCCGTGGAAGACAAGGAGAATGAAAATATCATTTTTATGTATGTTGACAAAATGGCTCCCATAAACGTTTTCTGAGGTATTATCCTATCTGAAGTGAGCGTTTTACGTGCAGAAAGTTTAGTTACACCAAAATACATACTATAGTATTTTTCGGGCTAAAGTAGCATTTAAGAGAGCAACTCAAAATCTTGCGTTTGTAACATGTGGGGGGTCAGAAATTAAGTATACACCCTGTACATATATTCTTTTTTTTCTTTATGACAATCATTATCACAACTTCTCTATTACAACTTTATGTGAATAAAACGTAAGACATAAAAAAAAAAAAAAAATATTTACAATAAAGATTTTGTTAACAATAGAGAATTAAATAAAAATTCGGAATAAAGAATGCGGAAACTAAAAAAAATCCTTCAGGTCTTGTCGCAGAGAAACGCTGAAATCAAAACGATTTAAATAAATTCATTTTTTATTAATTTTTTGTAAATGTTTATTCGCTTTTGAATTGGATCTGTTTCAATATATAGAGATGGTCGGACTGATTGACGTTTTTCTGTTTGCCCGTGTTCGTACTACCAACGAACCGGTCGAACACGAGCAACAATAATTTTGTCAAACAACCCGGAGAACTCGGACACCCCAAACACCGAACAGAAAAACTAATGTCGAACCGAACACCGATCGATCACCGAACAGTCATTGAACTAAAAATCTCGAACGCGGTCGGACGTCGAACATGCAAAAAAATGAAAAATAAAAAATGACACAAGAATCGGACAATTTTTCATATTTACAGGTTCTTAGTAATTTCTAGTACAGATTTAAGTGCAGTATATACAGCCTGTATAATACAGGTAGTAAATTTAAAAAAAAAGTTCAGTAAGTTTTTAATAAATTTTCTTAGTGTTTGTCCTTGGCATTGCAATGAGAATTTTGCAGTTCCTTGTCCATTCGAAGTAGCATCAAGGCTTCAATTGTTTCTGGTGCAAAATTGGCTCTCCTGTCATTAGTAATCAGCTTTGCAATGGAATTCATTCGTTCACTTGGGGCTGAGGTAGCAGGAATGGCAAGAACAAAGCAATGAACAATACTGGAAATGTGTCTTTAGGAACAATACTGGAAATGTGTCTTTATTTTTTCCCCACCACTTTAGGGCTTTATTCCCCAAATTTTTTACATGTTGAACATTTGGTGCCACAACTTCAATTCGACTATATTGTTCAATTTCATTATTCTCAACAGGGGCTGTTGAGTCAAAAAGGAAGAAAGTGAAGGCAAAATGGGGTTAGAAAAAGGCTTGGTAAAGGAGTGCTGCTTTTTTTGAGGTGGAGAATTGGTCGGTGATGAGTTTGTCTTTTCAAAATTCCAATATTGTATAAGACGTCGCAGGTTTTCCTTTGTTTCTATAAGCTTGGCAAAAGCATTTTGTTCAAAGACTTTGAAAGACTTGCAAAAAGGAATAAGAAACAAACCAATGCAATGATTATGATTTATTTTGAATTTATCAGACAAAATGTCAGCTGCAAAACTTGACAAGTACGTAATAATATCTCTTTGGTTTTCATAGTCCTGTTTGAAAACCTGAGAATCATATTGAGTTTCAAAGTCAGAATCATTAACCCAACGCAAGAAGTTTTCAACTGGAAGAGTGTTTGCCAAGTCAGTGTCATCATCAACTACATAAGACTCTCGATTGTTTGATTCAGGAGTAATGTTCAAAGGAATCTGTGCAAAAGATGAGGAGAAAGACTTGAAGTAATCTTGCATACTAAAATTTAACAAAATTAGTATATAAATTGTTAGATAGTTTGACCCTTCCAAATCATCACTTGCAACTTTGAAAGCTTTTAAAAATTTAACCAAAACCTCCAACTGATTTTTGTCGATTGCTCAATTGCTACCATTTTCTTAGTTCCTCGTAAATGAATCAACAATTCATCATACATTAGAAGGACTCCTTTAAAGAGTGCCAGATGTGAATTCCAACGTGTAGCTACATATTTTTTTAAAGTCTAGCTTAATTTTGCATTCACATTTCCACTCTTTACGAATGTAACAACTTGATAACAATTGTGAAGAAGATCATGCAAAGATACGCATTGAGTTTGCAATTCAGATGGTTTAAAAAGTTTTGTTAAAACATTGTTCAAGATGTGGCTGCTCCATGAAATTCTTGTCGATCGCAAGATTTCTGGACGAATGTCTATATCTTCTATTGCTAGTACAAAGCCACTATCTTTGAAAGCACTCAAAATATTAGAACCTTGATCAGTAATGAAAATTATTCGTCTCAGTCTGCTAGCAGTGTAAGCATCTCCTTTTTTAAAATTGTCAATGAGATATCGAGAGACGACAGTGGCTGTTCTTGAAATAGGAGGTAACACAGAAAAAGCCATTGCCGCCTCCTGTACTTTATTATTTTCAATCCAATGCAGCGTCATCGATAGATATGAGTTTCTGTGAAAATCATCAGTCCAAATGTCAGTAGTTATGCCTACACCACTTCTTTCTAGTTTCGCTTTGAGTATTCGGCTGATTGTGATTCTAGACTTTAAAACACTAGTTTTAATGGCTTCAGCAACTTTGTGTTTGGAAGGAAGGATGTCTTTGTCTTTAGCAGTAATATGTCCCCGATAAATAACACCAAGAAGAATAGCAGTGTTATTGACAGATTCAAATCCTTCCCCATAAATTGTTACAAATGGACGAAGATCAGTACTAAATAACGCAAGACAACTATTCAACATCGCATTCTTGTGGTTTTTATGAACTTGCACAGATGTTTTGAAGGTAGAACTTTCCTTTTTTATTACTGGCAAAATAGACTGTGAAGGATCTTGAGCTGTTGGGGCATGTGTTTTTAAATGTCTGATCAAAGTAGTAGTGCTACTTAGTTTTTGGTGAACAGCTTTTTTACAAATGTTACAAACTGCAATATTTTTGACAGGTTTGGTGGCATGTAATTTGAAGAGCAAAGAAAAATTCATCCAAATTTTGATTTGCCTACGCCAGTAGTTTTCGCTTTCAAAAGAACAGAACCACTGGAAATTTGTTCACTTAAAATTGCATTAAGTTCAATGACTTTATCTGAAGTCTCATAGATCTCTTTTATAACATGCGCCATTTTGTATTTTTGTGTAATAAGTTCTCGAAAATGTGTAACTAAATCGAATTTGACAACATGCAAAGTTAAAAAACAAAGTAGATATTTACAAAACAAAAGTTTTTTAATAAATTGAATAAATGTATAAATTTTTTGTAATATATATATTTAATATGTTATAAAAGAAAAATTCAATTAAAAGATTAAAAAAAAATTAATTTTTTGTTCACAAACAAAGCAAATAGGATATTTATCATATCTTCTTTGCTTTTGGTCATGTTCAAATTTGATAATCAAAATAAATTTTTCTTATGCAGTTTTTTACGCTGATTTCAAAAACCTAAATTTTAAATTATGAAAATCACTGCATCAGTGTTAAAAAGAATTAAATGCTTCGATTCACCAATATCCTGTAGTCCAAGGGGAATGAAACTTCTAAAAGTCTTGAAATAATTTAAAGCTGTGGTGAATAATTTAGATTAAAATGGAATAAATTCAAGAGAGATAATAATGCTGAACAAGTCGTACAACCGAACAGTCGAACACTTTCTGAAAAGTCAATCAATTTTAATCGATTTTGCCCAGAAATGCCGGCCCGGTCGGATGCCAAACATGGCGGCCATAAAAAAGTCGGACAATGGCGGACATCGGACAAAACATTCTTCAATCAGAACCGAACATTTCGATCACGGACACCGTTGAAAATTTTTCAATTCAAACCAATCAATCATTTTGTAAAATTTTTTTGACTCGGTCGCACATCGGACACAATGTGGCCCATCTCTATCGATATATAATTAAATGAACTGTTGCAATATTTTATCAAATAAAAGTTAAAAATAGTTAATATACTTGAGTATAACTATTGATGTGGTTTGATGATGTCATAGTATTCTGGTAATGTTAATATAAATTCGTTTTCATCGATTAGATTAAAATAATAATAATAATAATAATAATAATAATAATAATAATAATAATAATAAATGTATTGAACATTTCTTGCATTAAAATTGTAGAAAATAATATCTGGTTGGGGTGGACATTCTTGTTGATAATTAGCTCTTGTTCTAATATATATATATATATTTTTTCTTAAAGTAAATATCGTCTTTGCATCTTTACCATACAAGGCATCGTAGGTGGTATCACCGAATCCTTTTTTTAATCGATAACGATTACCAAGCAACCCAACGATTGCCAATGTGTTATAAAAACCTTATTAAAATTTTTTTTCTCAAATACTAAATAAAAATATATATATATGCAATACATTTTTGTGTAATATTACACTGCGCTATCCCTGAATAGCCAGTCAGCATATGTACACTCTACTAGTGTACATTTGCACTTTGTAAATGTACACTCATGATTTTTTCTGCTTTACTAATAAGTAATGCTTTGACCCATTTTTCATTTTTTAAAATTTTATTTATCATACGTTTAAAAGATCATTAACGACAATATTGAAACGATGACCAGCACAAACAATCTTAAGAATTGTTTCATCGAACTTATTTACAGCAGAGAAAATATTTGCCCCTGAGTCAGTAAGTCGTGCAAAAATATTATTGCTGATTGACCATTCACAGATGATTTCATTTAAGATAAATGTTCAGCTGTTTTTACTGCAGGCATAAACTTTAGATCTTAGTTACGGTCAACTAAAACCATATTTTGATGAGTAAAATGACAAGTCACACTAAGATAGGTGTTTTTACTCAATGACGGCCATCCATCAAAAGTAATTGCAGTGAAATTACATTGCTTTAGTTGCTGCATTGTTATTTATTTTAAATTTTCTGAAATTGATGAAATTAATTTCTTGCTAACTGTATTTATGCATGATATTTTGTAGTTTTTATTTAACTTATTAACTATGTCTGATATATCCGGATGTCGTACTATTGAAATCGGCTGATCAGTTTCAGCAATGAAGTTCAATAATAACTTGTTTAATATTTTATGACTAGTCGCTTCAAATTCGTTATCATTACAGCTCTCAACATCGGATATATCATTATCGTCAAGTAAAATCTTGATTTAGAAGTTTCAGAAGTGATGCAATGATTAATTGAAACACGGGATTGCATTGAACTGGTTGAACTCTTATAAGGTAGAACCTTATAACATAAGTTGCGCTTTATTTGGGACTTTCGTTCATTTGTAAAATATGTCCAAACAAAGCTTCATTTTTTATTCCTTTTTATCATTTGACTATCAGATTGATTTATTGACATAATGTATTCAAATAAAAAAATATGTAATTGTTTTAAAATATTACACGAATAACAATAAAAATAATTTTAAAGCAAATTTAATTTTATATACCAATTAAAAAATAATAACTTTATTTTATTCTCTTTAAAGTAGCGTAAATTTGAGTATTATGAGCAAAAATTAAGATATTTAAAAAAATAATAATCCTAGGTTCAAAATTTTTACGAATAAATATTTTTTACGGAACACTACTCAAGATCTCAACAAATATTTAGGCTCCAAAATTTTTTTTTTTTTTAAACGCAAAGGTTTTCAAAAAAGAAGCAAAAATGCTCATATTACCAAGACCACATAATAATATATGGACTTAAAATTAGAATAAAAATTTAAATTAGGTTAAAAAAAATACCTAACTGAAAATTACTGTTTGTAAATTGCAATGATTCGTTGTTTACAAAACTTAATAATAAAAGATAAATTTTAAGCCGCTTTTTTTAAAACTACTTTGTTTTGCACAAAAAAAAAGTAAATTACAGAAAGAATTGTCATAATATTAAAATTTTCTACTATCCTTTATTTCTATTCAAAAAGCAATAGACCTTTTGCCAGATAACGACGTCATTATAACTACGCATTGCATTTTGGGATTGCCTGGGAGCAAACAAAAGTTAAATTTGTAAATATCCTGTTGTTTTCTAATTAGTTTTTTAAAGTTGGCCATTATTATCTATTTGGTTTATAACTATAATTTTTTTTTATTTGCAACACTCTTTTGTAATGGGTAAGGGCGATCATTGTGCAATTTTTGGTTGTAACAACGATCGTCGATACAAAGAAAAGTATGTTTTGAAAGATCATATTTATAAGACTTTTAGTTTCAGCGAATTAAAATTTTTTACTTGTAAAGAGAAATATTTTTCCACATGGAGTAAAATTAATAACAGAGAAATAGTCGGCCCTTTAACAAAAAAAAGAAAGCTATATGCTGTAAATAAGAATACAAAAGTATGTGCAAATCATTTTGAGTATGGAAAGCCAACTGAGCTATCCCCTCATCCAAAGTTATATTTGAAAGGATACGAAATATCTCCTCAAAATAAAAGAAAATTACCAATGCCTCGATATACACCTACTAAAGTTTCTAAAGAACATAAAAATACACATTTTCCAAGTACCTGTACCACTACTAGTAGCAGTAACAATAATGACAATATTCCCCAACAGTCTTCTCTGTCAATATCTCCTCCACGTCTATCATCAACAGCATTTAATCAGCAACTTTCTCCACAACAAATCGATTTAATTACTAACACACCAGCAACTTATCTAACACCAACAACACTTTATAAACAAAGTAGTCATAAAAGATTAACATGGGAGGCAGTGCGTTCTTTACCCAAAGTCATAAAATTGTATACTGAGTGTCCCACTGAAAATGTTTTTTTATATATTGTTAGTCGTGTTCAAGCTTAACATAAAAAAGTTTCTAATTTTATGAATTGTTAACGTTCATTTGAACCAAAGCAATATCAGTTTAGTCCTGCTAGTAAACCTTCAAGTACAGGGAAACCTGGTCCAGCACGACAGCTTTTTGTTGAAGATGAAGTGTAACTTACAATAATGCGTATTTGACTTGACTCGCCATTACAAGATTTAGCATTTCGTTTTAAAATTTTAGTAAGTCATGTGTCTAGGATTTTAACTACATTTATAACTTTATTAGCCCGAGAACTTGAACCATTAATTTATTGGCCTGCTCCAGAAGAAACATTAAGTTTTACACATCCTCATTTTATTGGAGATTTTGTTTATGTTGAAGGTATTGGTGACTGTACTGAACAAACTATTCAAAAATCTGCTAATGCTAAAGCTCAATATCAAACATATAGTTCTTATAAAAGTAGAAACACATTAAAAAAACTTATATTTTGTACTAAAGGCGGTTCTATCTCTTTTGTTTTTAAAGGTTATTCTGGATCTTCCTCAGATTGTTTTATCACTGAAGATTGCAATGTTGCAAGAAGGTTCACTCCTGGTTTTATTGCACTTTTTGATAAAGGTTTCAATGTTCAAGATTTATTTCTATCAAGGCAGGTAAAAGCTGTAACTCCACCATTTTTACGTAGTAAGCGACAGTTTACACCCTCTGAAGTGTATCATTGCAAGCGCATAGCACGTGCAAGAATACATATTGAACGTGTCATTGGATGGCTGAAAGAATTTCGACTTCTAAAGAACACTCTGCCTATCACATCAGTCCCTCTAATCGATGATATATGGATAATTGCTGCTACTACTACTACTACTACTACTACTACTACTACTACTACTACTACTACTACTACTACTACTACTACTACTACTACTACTACTACTACTACCAATCTCTATGAACGGCTAGTAAGCCGTGAAAATTTAAAATGTTGTTTTTAGTGAGACAAAAGTTAAAGCCGATATGTTTTGAAACTTATTTAAATGAAATTATATTAAGAAAGTGTGTATTTAACAAAATAATTTATTAAAATTGTAATATGTGAGCTGTAGTAAGATATATATGCATGCGCAAGTAGCAAAAGGTAACATGAGGGCTTTTTGGGTTATTTTGGGATTTTCGTGTTTTAGGAAAAAAAAGTTTAATATTTTCTGAAAAAGGAACAAATTCCGCCAATATATAATGATATTCCATCATTTTTTGATAATTGTAACTTTTACTACTACTGAAAAAACATTTTTTTGACAATCCGATAAATCCACGGTAATCTATTAAAAGTTATGGTTAACTTTTTTGCATTACAAAAATTTTGTATGTTAAATTACCACCTACAATGAAGTTATAAAAGTTGGCGGTAGTAAGCCATTTTATGAATACAACTTTTTTTGTTTCATTTTTAAGTTTACAAAAATATAAAACTTGACAAATAATAAAAATAATTAATGTGCTTAAAATCATTTTTTGTCTTAAATTTTTGGTAACATGCGGGCTACACATTTTCAAATTTTTTTCAACGATTCAACTTTTTAAGGAAACTTTGAATATAAAACGAGGACGCTTTTTATTGTCAAGTATGAGTGTTCACAAGCAATTGTATTTAATCATTGACTATTTTTTTCACAAAACAAATAAAAAAACTAATATTTTTATGCAAAAAGAACAAGTAGACTCTTGCAAAAATAGTCTCTCTGCTTAGAAAACCCGAGACAACTACAAGGATCCCTGGGATATCACAACGAGGTTTTATTTCATAAAACTTTAAAATAGTAAGCACGTAAACTGTTACATAAAAGTACTTTTAT